GCCGATAGATTAGCCACAGAACGCCCAAGGGTTCCCTCAAGCACTGGCTGTGTTAATGCAGCGTGATTGGTAGTCGATCAGGCCAACGCTTGGTCAAATCGAATGGAAGACCACTCAAGTTCTGTCGCATGCAGGCTGTCTCCAGAACATCAAGGCAACCTGACATTCTGAAAACGAGCATGCTTGAACAGTCAAGTGTCGAGCTTAGGATGCCGGAAACAAACATAACGAATTTGTTCAATGCAATCGAAGCTGGCATATGCTAGGTCAGTTAGGTTCTAGAAAACTCTCAACTTGTGCTAGACCTCAGGGTTCCAGAATGCAATGTTGAAAAAATTAAAACCCTCTGCTCCCCGATGAAAGACAGGCTCTGCGTCCAGTAACAAAAAGCCGAAGACAGGGCGAGCAAAACGATGCCAATCAAAGAGTCAGGGTCAACCTGTTCCTCATTCCTCATCAGCTCTTAATTACACTTCATTACGAGTACATACGAGTACCAAGTCGTGTCATTGCCATCTTGCCCAATGCGCCGTTTGCCGTTGCCCAGTTCCCCGTTGGTGCGGCGCGGCACCAAGAGCGTGAGAACACCCAGCTCATCTCCGCCGCCGACGGCCAGCATCAAGGGCTCAGGGCAGCTGAAGGCCAAGGACTTCACACTGCCGGGCACGTACTTCTGGTGGATGCTCTGCCAGTCGTTGGGTCTCATCTCCTCAGTCAGCGCGAACGGTTTTTTAGACGTGTCGCGAACGTGTCGTTGGGTCAGAAAATGGACGTCGTCTGTCTTTTTGCTGGGTGAGGAAGGGGTGAACGAATATGAAAAAATCATTCACGGGGCCAAAGGATCTCTAGGGACTCAAAGGATCTAGGGACTCTGCAGGTCATTTTCTACATGAGGGCCTGGCAAAACCTCCTGTCAAGTAGAAAACAATAGAATACACGGTTCAGCAAGGTCATCGCTTTTTGAGGGGGGCCTAGTCGCTTTTGGAGGTTTCAGCCCAATTCCTGAAATTCATGACAGCTCTTTGCAAAATTAGTAAATAGTCATTGCACGTTTTGGCGGTTGCTCTGACATGTCCCTTCCCACACCTGGTTCTAGGGGCATCTGGAAACTGCTAAAAGCTCTGAAAGCTGCTCACTCCATCTCACTCCTTCGGTTTTCCTTCGGCCCAAGCACTCGCCAAATGATCACGTGCCCATCCGCCGAGCCCGAGGCCAAGAGTGGAGCACCCTCCAGGTGTTCGGCCCATGCGAGGCACGTGGCCGATCCTCGGTGGCCACACAGGGGCGCCGCGCCTGCCACGTGCACCTCAGTGGCCACGTAGCACCCGACCGGAGATCGCTGTCTGGGATGGACCTGGGCGCTATCACAGAGTACATGGGGCAACGATGGGCGCCGAAGAATCCAGGAGTTCCATGGAATTCCCCAATCGTTTGTGAAAATTGATTGGGAGTTCATCACATTCTCGCTCACTCACCTTGGGATTCTTGGCAGCCCGGCCGTGCCATCTTGATGGGCGGTGGCCAGAGTCCTCCAAAATGTCACAACCCACGGGTGGAACAACTTAGGCCCTTGTCCATCCTTTTTCTCACACCGTGGCGTTTGGCTACGTTCGTAGCACCCCTTGCTCCTACTAGCGATGCCCTTTGTTACTAGTAGCGGCTACCTCTTGTTCCTAGACCACGTTCGTAGCGTCCTTGTTTGGCGGACGGAAAATCTATCAAGGCGTTGCATCCGGCAACCGAGCGTGTGGCAAACGCATGCCGCAAATGTGTTCCAATATCATCCAAAATCCACGCATGCCGCCATTCGTGAGCAGAATCCCAGTCAAACAACCTCTTGGCAAAGCCTTCATTTTGTTTAGAGGAATGAAGGGGTCGTGCAGCTCAGTCAAAAGCGGCCAACTCGCAACACTGAAGCAGCGAAATCCGTGTTTTGCGTTTGTCAACGATATGACCCTATCACTGCCTCCCATGATACTGGGCATCGTTAATGCCAGAGGCCATGGCACTATGCCGCCATTTCTTCGACTTGACTTCCTGAGCTGTGTGGTTGTAGTGTCCGGCAGAAGGCGGCTCCTTCAATTGCCTGATTAAACCCAAATGCAAGCGCTGGGACAAAGGAAGCTTGAGAAGGGTCCCTTCCCTTGGCAAAATGAGCATCTGATGTTCGACAGGTCTGAAAGTCCCTTTTCGTAGAAGGATACCTGAAGCCTCGGTTTGGGAGAACCTTCACTCCGTCGCATCTCCTTCTTCAGTAGGCTCTTGAAGGTTGCAAACCAAACGATAGACAAGCAATCGGACAGTCAGCCGGTTCTCTTTTGCATGATTCTGCGCATGCCACTGTGCACATCTTCCGCTTTGGATGTCACAAATCTCTCTACCCGAAGAACTGCACAGGTCTCAGGGGTAGAAAGGATAGCATTGCCGTGTGCATCTCTTTCGGTGCAACAGCCGCTCTTTCTGTAGCTTTTGGACGCTTTCCTGGTGGCTTCCTAGTGACCATATGGAATCAGTGAAACAACGGTTGCGAAGCTACCACTTGCCAAGATTCAAATGATCTCATTCATCTGACAGGCGGATTTATGTGGCAGGAAACGCAGCTATCAAGCGTGAACCCAGCCCAGCTGAGTGACTGCAATTCAAGGCACATGGCTTCTTTGCTGTTGTTGCAGCTTGCCAGTGTGTCGTTTGCCCAGCCTCATCAGCCTCTGGGACAGGGTGCAAAATCCCATGCACCAGCACCAGGATGGAGCAAAAGAAAGCGGCAGAAAACATCACCTGCGAGTCTGCGAGATGTGGCTTCACCGTGGTTCAACAGGATTCCCAGCATGGCTCCTGCGATCTGCCTTCTGTCACCTCAATTTCTGCATGTGGGTCTGTCCATGCGCTCAACCGTGTTTGGGGGTTGGAGCGCGCCAGGCCTGTCCGACAACGCAAAGTAGGACGATGGCAGTGATTCCGCTCAGGGCCATCCATCTTTGAGTCCTGAGCGGAGGCCATCGCTATTAGGTTGGAGGTCATTTCTTCTAGGTAGGGGGGCACCTAGGCTTTTAAAAGGGTCAACACTGCACTTCGATGTTTGGCTTCGAGGCCCTTTGTCCTCGGTGCGATCGAACGGCGGCAAAGCATCGAACGCATTGGGACGAACCCCAAACCCTTAGATCCCTCATCATAAGCTTGGTGTTCTCGAAGACCTACCGGACCTACCGTTCATTTCTTTTTCATTCCTTTTCATTGCTTTTCATGGACAGGTCTCATCCCGAATTCTTTGTGCGAAGCACTGACCATGCATGGTCCAACTTCTGGGCACACCGACTTCCCCATGGGCATGCCACCCACACTGACCACCCAGTTGGGGTCGTCGTTCTTCTTGAGAAACAACTGGCGGACGAGAACTCCCCGTCGGACCCGTCGGACCGGGTAGATGCCGTGGTTCGAAAACGTGTTTGTTTTCGACCCAATCCTCCGGAAGAGCAAGTATGTTTTTACAGAAAAAGATGGTAAAATATCGCCAACTGCTTCAGATTGCTTCAGTTTTGGATCCTACTGAGTGTTTGATTGCATGTATTGGACTCTATTGGGAAGCTGAGGCTCGATGATACTCAATGATACTCAATGTGTGCGCGGGCGTGCATGTTCCCCCCGAGGAATGCTGAACAGAAGCCGAGGAGGAACTAAGCTTTCCACAATCCACACTGCAGCCATCACACAGATCACAACCCTCAGCATTCAAGGTTGGTAGTTGGTACACGCAAAGATCTGCCAAACATCTGCATTGATGCAATAATGATTGGATGACATCCAAATGCTTCAAGAAAACTGTTCAATTTGTCGATGTGCACCAAGAGACCCGAAAAAAACAGTCCTACATGGATGGTCGGCTCACAGATTCCTGTCGCTTTGCTTCGTCTCAGTCCAAATGGTCTGCGTCCAAGAATCAAACACTCAGGGTGAGAAATGATGGCAAGAACCATCTGCAACAGAAAGACCACTGCATAGTTGATCTGAAAGTGCCTGCATCTCACGTTGATGGCTTGCGCTGTCTTTGTCATGGAGTTTCTGAAATCAAACAAGCATTGCTTTTGCAAGTTGGTTCGCGGTTGCTATTATTGTATGTAGCTCCGTTGAGATTACAACAAAGGCAGGCAGAAGGCCGGCGCTGCGAGAAACGAAGAGACACGAAACTGAACAAGTTCTTCAGATCTGTGGCCAAATGATGGTGAGATGTTGAGACCTTCAAGTGTCACAACTCCTAACTCCTAACTATACCGACACACAGGCGGGTCATCGTCAGACGGGTCATCGTCAGAGATGGGTCAACGACCGTCAGAGGCGCGGAACACTTCGCAAGGCTGATCTGCTGAGGCTAAGACGAAAGGTTCATCTGCAAGCGTTTCTGAATATCACCTTCAGGTTTTGACCTCAAACGCTTTCGGCTTGATTAGATAGATTCTCAAGGCTGAAGATCTGTCAATGATCTCAAGAAGGATAGCGGAGCGGTCAAAGCATCATCGTGAAGGGGTTGCGTTGCGTTCTTTTTCTTCTCGTAGAAAAACAGCTGACGGTGGGGGGGAGTTCAAGACCGGTCAGCTGAAGCACAAGAAAGCTTCTTTGGTGAAATGCTTTGGGTGACCGACAGGTACTAAGACCTGTGAGACAGTCATTTTAGGCATCCATCTAAGGCTGCCGCTACACTATGGGCGAAACGTGGTGAAACCAACGAAATCGTTGAGCCAAAGGATTGATCTCAACGGCCGAACGCGTTCGGGCGCGTGTGATTGGCTGCCCCCCTCTTCGCGACCCGTTCGGGCGACCCCACAATCGGATGAATTCCCGCCAGGGGCGGAGCTGTGTCAAGTAGTGGCCATACCTCAGGATGTGATCTGCACGATCGTTCGACAAACTCTCTTGTCGATTCCTTGGACCTCCCTATGAGTGGCCTGTCTTGTATGAAGATGAATCGGGATCCTTATGAAAGGATCACCTGCAGATCTGGCACTTTAGCTTTGGAGTTGTTGTAGCACCATGTCCAGAGGTGTTGCTAGGCAATGCTCTTGCTAATTCTTGATTGAAGTTGATGGCTACGTTTTCCACATGTCGATGCCCAAGCTCCAGCCTCACTGAATGAATTGTCATGCGTACCAAGGAGAAAGCTGAAAAGACACAGGCGGGTTGCGTCCTAGGTCCGCCAGGTCAATCCATATACAGCTAATAACCTCCTAGAGCCGGTATGGAGATCCATGATGCTTGTGATAATATGGACTCCATCGCTCCCAGAATACAGCTCTTATGATGGACTCAATCATGATCTCCGATGGCATTTAACATCTCTCTCCCATGACCATGGACCTCACAATCACCAAATCCTGTGATAGGACAAGGCCCAGGTGCTTCAGCTTGAACGGCTCGATGGCCTGCCGAAGCCAGTGGCTCAGTCCAACCACAGAAGTCATGGAAGAACCAAAGGCCCTACTCACGGCGTTTCAGCATGAACCGCCACCAAGGACCACCTCCCACCAGCTACGTGCATCCTTCGGGACGCACGTAGCTGGCGCGGAGGGCAGGCCACGGCCCCTCCGTGCCGAACGGAGATCTGAGAGGTTGGACAAATGCAGAGGACACAACCACACACCCCTCAATGCTCATCTGTGCTCTGCCCGGCGTGCCTTTCTAAGCTCCTCCATTTGGGAGAGTGGTGGCTTCTCTCCATCCATGGTGCCCTGCCAAGCAGGCTGCATAGCTGCCAAAAACCAGCAATTGCCCAGAGGTCCGTGTTCCGCCATATTCCGCCGTTCCAGCCACCCTCTCATTCCAGCTAAGCAGTCATCCCATCTCGAACGGTTCGAACGGAAAAGCAGTTCGGCCCCAAGCCCCAAGCCTGGACACCTGCCGGTAGATCGGCTCCAAGCTTTTCCTGAGCAACTGGGAGCTGCAAAGATGGTGCCCTTTGGCATCATATCCCCAGCAAAAAAGAATTATTCAATCTGCAGGGCGTAGCTCCTGTATTACCCCAGTCGAAAAAAATAGAACCATAAGTTGGCTCCTCAGGTTTGTCGAGCTTGCATATGTGCAACAAAGCCTTTGAGCGTATGCTTCCATGTTCGGAAGTTCCTCCCCGCAATGGCTTGTGGACGCTCACGTGGCCTAGTCCCAGTCGAATTTCGCTCAGCCCCTCACCGCCTCGGGTGTCGCCATCGCTCCGGGCCTCAAAGAAAGTGGGGAGGGCATCGATTCCCAGAAGGAAACCATTGATATGCGCTAGGTCTAAAGAGCTAAAGAGTATTAAAGAGGTAAAGCGTGACTTGAGGTGTGCAAGACATCTCCACGTTGACCATGCTGCCATACCCTATGAGTCCTATGAGACAGCCTAACATCGTGCGTCCAACGCCTCGCCCCTTCCAGCCTCGTGCTCGGCGTCAGGGATGCGATACTAAAGGATGACCAGACTGAGAGCCGAGGACATTGAGATGCGCTGACAGCCAACCTCCTGGACCTCCGAAACAGAAGAAAGCACTTGGTCAGTGGTCAGTTCCTGTGGATTCCAACATGAAAGCCTCAGAAGCCTTAACGCTATGTTGCAAGGCAAGCTTTAACTTCCATTCGGTTTGGCGACTTCAGTGGAAATGTTAACACTTAGAGTAGCCGATGTGCGTTCCAAAGAACGCTGTCCACGGTCTCTTTTGCACGCGGCGTTCAACATCTCACCTATCTAAGTTCAGAGATTCTTCGAAACCGCGACGGTCTCGCACGTGTTGCACGGCGAGAAGTCGGACGCTGATCTCTGAGAAGCATTGGCTGATCCAGTCGTACACGACCAACGTTGGACCAGAAGAAAAGCGTGCCAAACAATGCCCAAGAAACCCATGTGTTAGATCTCTCCATGTTGCGGACGCCGTTTAAAAGTCCCTGCATCTACGTCCATGGACTCCATCGACGTCGGATATCATATATGACTCCGATGTTCCCCCCCCACTCGCAACTCCTTGAAGGATGTCTCTTTCCTTTGTCTTCTGCTGACAAAGGCTTGAAGGGAGTTGGAGCCGGATTCTGAAACTACAAACTGGTTGGAGTCTGAAATTGAGGTTTTGAAACTGGGAGTCTGAAACTGGAAAGTCAAGAATCAAAATAGTTGCGGAATCCCGGTTGCGGAATCAAGGGAGTTGCGGAATCCGACTTGATCCCTTGATGGTAAAGGGAGGTCACAATGGTCACAAGTTCTTCTGGTCTACCACAAACATACTTTGTACAAGTTCCGCATGTGAGGAGAAGAATGAATCCCATGAAGCATGTCAGCAGCATCCACAGCATCCTGAGAACAGTCTGGGAAGTGCAAAGACATCATTTCGCGTACTGCGTTGATTGCAAAACATCTACTGCAAGACACATGTGGAGTGCTTTGTCTCAGCCGAACCCAAGTGTCTCATCTTGCTTCTCTTGAAATATCTTGAAATTATATATAAGTACCTCAGGTTCCTTGATCCGCAACACAAGTGCACGCTCACAAGGCCAACAAAACAGGAACACTACACAATCAACTGCAAAGTCTTGTGTGGCCACATGTGCACAACGCACCAATGTACATTCCAAGCCCAGCGGAAAGTGAGTTCCATCCTCCATCTTCGTTGTCTTCTCCGTTATCATCATCCTCATCCTGAAGCGCAGCCATCACATCTCGGTCCATGTCACATGATCCAACCTTTTCACATTCGAGGCAATGTTTGTCTTCGCCAGGTCTAATCTGACTCATCTAGGAGCTCGTCATGCGTTCGCGCCAAGAATGAGTGCCTGCTACATCCTGTTTCATCCTGTCACCCCGTTGAGTTTGTCTTTGGATGTCTTTGACATTCATGCTCTCACTTGAGTTTGACGAACACACTCAAGCAAACCCGGACTCACCAAAACTTAATATAGTTAAGACTCAGACTCAAGACTCTTCACGGATAAGGAAACAGAACATTTCGGCCACTGGGTATTTCCATGTTCTTCAGTCAAACCCTGTCAATCCGCAAAACCTCAAGTCACAGCTACTCCCCACTGGGTGACCCACCTCATCAGCACCTCCTCCCCTGGGCGGCAAACCGCGGCCAGACAGATTGGCCGTCGCCTTGGGCGATGGGCGGATGCCGAACGAAACTGTTGGAAGTCCACGGTCATCAAGAGTTTTTTCCCAAGTTCATCTGCCATCAATCATGGAAGTCCAAGAAATATTCCAAGCAGTTCGGAAGTTCCCAGAGCGGTCGCGTTGCCAAGCACAGCATGGTTCTGTTCTCCTGCCCGATGCGCTGCAATGAGGGAGATGTCACCCAATGAGCCGCATCGGAGCCACATTCGGAAGTTGAAACTTCGAAACCCTCGAAACCTGGATCTAAGTCGACCAGGATCCAGGCCATTAGAGCTTCTGGAGAACTCATCACTTCAGCAAAGGACGTGTACCTGCTCGGAACCAGGCAAAACGGGCAAGTTGTGAATGCAGCTATGCTCAGTGCCGTGGGATGTGTGATTCTGCTCCAAGTAGCAATCCTCTATGAGGATGATAAAGGCACACATCCACACCACAAAAGCTGGCCAAAAACTGGCACAAAACAAAGGCAAGGAAAAAAGATGTTCTTCGATCGCAAAGGTCTTTAAATGGGTCTTTCTCAAACATGATGGAAAATCCTACGTGCGCGTAACTTCTGTACATGCCCGATTGGCGTTCAATCAAATCAACGAATGTCTTCCAGGTTTCTTATCATCTTTTCCACCTCAATGTTTCTTGTCACCCACCTGGTTTCTCATGGGATTGCCAAGTCCTTGTCCACTTTGAACTTCTGCATGAACTCTTTCACCTTTCCTGACTTCTTGGCATCTTCAATAAACTCGCAAAGCAGCTTGAAGCCCTGATCTCGTCCTTTCTTCGTGGCCGCGGCCTGTTCCACCGCCATGAACTTTCCCGGCAGCAGCCTGGTGGCTGGTCGCTTGGCGCCATCCTTCTTCAGCTTGGGTCGAAGGCCGGCCACAGCTTCCAAAGCATTGTCATTGAAATGAGCATAGGTGGCATCATGACCTTTGATCTTCTCCAAGGTGGCGTTTTTCAAATTTCGCTCCAGCCACAGCACATATGCTGCACCATCACAACCAGCAATGCGCACGCCGGCCTTGTCGACTTCTGCGCAAGTACGAAGCCCGGAGGTGGTGGGCACAGCATAGGTGGCTTCAATTTGGCAATAGGGAGGCGTGAAATCAATGAACTCAGCCCGTGCTGGGTCAGCGCCAATCATCGCGACATCCCACTTGTCTTCTTTCGCATCATCTGCCAGCTTGTCCGCTGACTCGTACTGCACGTATTCCACCGGCACCCCTAGCTTCTCCGCAAAGGCACGGCCCATGCTGGGTGCCAAACCTTCAGGCTCTCCAGCAGAAGACTTGCCGCTCACCAGCAACTCATTCCGCATGTTCAAGGCCACGCGAAGCTTCCCCGTGGGCGCCATCTCCTTGGAGACATCTGCTGCTGTGGGCACAGCCAGAATTTGCTGACAAAGGACCCTTGCGCGCCGCATCTTTGCTGGTCGGGAAAGGTGTTTGAGCCAAAGCAAGTCTTTTTGCAACCGCAATCAGAGACACTATATATCACATACAATACACATGTGGACATATGTAAAAGTTACGAGTGTATGCGCACGTGTGGCTTTGAAGCTGCCTGATGACTATTTGCAAGTCTGCATCAGGCATCACATACGATTTGGGGCACTCATCCAGCTGGAATCTTACCTGAAGTCATAGCATGTGGTGGTACTCAAGCACATCCCGCCCAGAGTTCAAAGGATCTACTACATGTTCCGGAATCAAACAAAGAAAATCAAGCAGCACGAGTGAAACCTCGTGATCCAGAAAACAATACATTCATGTTCTCACCCATTGTCCATGCAAGACCAAGCCTGGGCCAGCAACTTGTGAATCTTGTTGGCAGCCCCATCAGCTGCTTCATGCAACTGCGCGGGGCTTCGTCTCTGCGGACAGTCAGGAGGGAAGACATTGACATGTGTTTCAACCTGTTCAACATAATTGCCAATGTTCAATATCCAGAGTACTTCACTGTGCTGTTCTATACATAGCATTTATTGGCTCAAAGCTGGTGAAGGCATGTCATCGATGACGACGAGTCCCTTCGATTCAAACCCCAGTGACAAAACCCGCCTTCCATTTGTCAATGGACTCTGGGCCAGACCCTGAGCCAGCAGACATTGCAAGCTTCATATTTTTACTCCTTGGTCGCGACAGGATCTCATCGTCCGTGTGGGTTCCACGCAGAACGTGTCAACACACATGTCTACTGTGTATATATATATATATATGACAGATTATATATTGGCCAGGGCTAGGCTCTGTTCCTCAAATTCTCAAGATCGCTTTTCTTGTCTGGATGTAGAGTGTTCTCCTCAAGGTGTTCTCCTCAAGTCATATCTGAATAGCGCGGAGCACCTCAAACTTTTTTATTGAGGGGGTTTATAAGGAGAGAGAGAGAGAGAGAGCATTAGGTGGCAAGGTTCAGGGGTCCGTTGACATCCCGATCCTTTGGATGCTTGGAGCAGAAATTGCTTGAGCCGGTGACCGCCCAGTTTTCTTTTGAGCTCCAAGCTCATAGGCGATCAGCAAAGGCCAGTGGTCGATGAGTGAAAGATCCTCACTCAAAAAACGAGGATTTGGGATTTGGGATGATACTGGCCTGTGTATTCAATCTGTATTTCACAAATAGGAAGACGTTTTTTAAATCATTGGGTCTTGGTCGATGTCGGTCTATTTGCGGAGAAAAGACACCAATAAGAGTCTCTTCCACTCTCCTTCAGATCTTGAGACCCCCATCGTTTATCCCATTTGGACCGTTCCCATCGTTTACCTTTGCTTCCAGTCCTGAACGAAGCTGCTGTAGCCCAAGACTTTAATGCCTTGCTGAAGCACTGAAGCATGTACAATGAGATTGAATAGTGCGAAGCTGTGTGGCTTGAAAGTCGTATTCACGCCCACCCACTTCAAGCTGGCTAGACCGCTAGTTGGCTTCACCCCAAGCAGCTATATTTCTCTACGCAATGCATCTCTTTGCGCCTTTTTTGGGCACAGCAAACCTCAAAGATCCTCAAAACAGTGCGAATTAGTGCAAGCTGGCTGTTGTCTTCCCAGTCGTTCAGCTCCAAAGACATCAGAGCTGCCAATTTCGAGGCCTCTGAGGCAGGACACTGGGCCTTCTGGCTCTTGGCTGCTTTGCCGGACCGCAACCTGGACCAACGGACAAAGACCTATCTGGAGCCGACTTGTTCACATTGGAAATGAGGATTGAAGGAAGTGGATACCGATTGAAACACATGAATAATATATAACTTAACCATAAAACTCATAAAACAGGGAGAAAATCCCACCTTCCATGGCTCTCCACTCACAACTCCAGCAGCCTTCTGACCTGGTCTCTTCCCCGTCCAGAGGGTCTCTCCTCAACTCGTCTCTTTCGTTCCAAGAAGCTTCAAGGCCAACTCTTGAGGCTCTGATGGGCCAGGTGGAGCTTTCAAGCCTCCCATGTCACCAGCGACACCCCACAGCACGATCCGGCACGAAATTCGGAGAGCAGCCCCGACCACGAACACCCAACGAGTGGTGAAGCACCGTCAATGGCACACACCCGGCCCAAGTTATTGCTTGTCCTGAGCTAGCAATTCAAGAGCGCTAGAATTGACATGCCTGAAAATGACCAGTGTCGTCGTGGAAGGTGGAGAAGGTTTGTTTGGAGATTTGGGGTGTCGCCATGCTTCCCAACCTTCCTTGAGATCCAAATCCTCGAACATGCACCTTCATCTAGCTTGCCAAACTGCTTCCTCAAAGCCTTGGCTGCCTGGCAGTAGTCACTGTGGCTGCCTTGAATGGTCCTGCCTTCCCCCTTCTCAGCAATCTAAAGAGCACTTTGACTCCTGATATTCTTACTTGTCCCAACTTGGACTTTGAATGACTTTCAGCTCGCTCCTTGTTACATTGTTGTGCATCCGTTCAATCCTTTTTCGACTTTGTGGCAAGACGTCCAGCGGAGGCCTCCGTCAAGGTCTCCACGTGCCGTGGGTCGACGACTTTGGATGCCAAATCCCTGGATCGACTCAAAGGGCTTCGACGATGCCAGAGGAACACGTTCAAGTCATCAACCTCTGTACATTGTGCCGTGCCATCTTGGACTGCCAGATCTTTTGGGTTCACAAAAACCTCACGCTTGAACACCTTGGCAAATCCTCCAAGACCAGACTAGAAACCCAAAATGACTCAGAACGCGTGCTTTGAACCCTTCACTGAATCTTTGCGCTTTGGATCCCTCTTTCCAATTTTGGGGAGCTCCAAATCAGGTGGTTCACCACCTGATCTGATCCAGTCCGCTGAGCGCACGGACTGAATCGTCAGAGTCGCAGTTTCCATGGACCTGTGATGGTAGCCCGCAAAGAACTCCTCTGAGGCATACTATCAATGTGGTGTATTTAGACAGGTAGACCCTGAACCATTGGGTTTGGGTGGGCAGGGTTCGACAGTTGGGGAGCTGTGGTCAAAGCTTTTGACACATGTCATCATACAACCCCTGCGCACCATAAAAAGAAAGGTCCTCAGTGCTCAGGCCACAAAGGCCTTTGAGACTTTCAAGGGGTCAGGGCCCACAGGAAAAATAATCAGACTCTGCCACTGCCATCCAAAGCGCAGGAAACAGGACGTTGCTTGCTTTCCAAAGCTTGTCTGAGAACTGAAAAAAAAACACACGCCTGAGCCATCGTTCAACGCCTGGTGTGCCGTCCTCCAACAACCTGTGGGCGGGTGGTCGACTGCTACTTCTTTGCTGTGAAATAACCAAAAAAAACTCCATATGCTCTGCTGGCTAGCACCCACTTCTTTGTATGTTATGCCACCCCTCTTCAATGCCATGCGGCTTGCAAAGCTCTTTGGCCATATCATCATACCCTTGTAGCCGGTCCTGCGGAGGATGTATGCCGCATGGTTGGCCCTTTGTTCCCTTCGGTCAGGTCCACCGATTTGGGCAACAATCGAAGATGCAATCAATAAATTAGGTTGAGGAAAGAACTGTTGAAAGTGGACTTAAAGTTGGCAAAGGCAAAACAGAACCGTACGCGAAACAAAACAAACCCATACAGTAACAAAGCTAACAACCACTAGTATCCCCTGCTGCTAGAATCCCACCCTCAAGAGCTTCTCCTTGAGCTCACGTATCCGTTGCACGCGCACAGGGAAAAGTTGCATGAACTCGTTGTAATCGATGGCGTGGTCCTGTAATCGATGGCGTCTGTTTACACGCCAAAATGGGGGTGGAATTCCGCTGGGTATCTACATCATCCTCAATCCTCAGGTACTTTCACCAGACCTCCGCCATACCTCCTCCGTACCTTCATGAAAAGCAACCAGTGCGAGCTCCACTTGCAATGACCTGACGGAGTCCTTGGTTCCCACATCATCTTCATCTTCATCTTCCAATCCCAGCTCCGCCGCCTCCACATGCTTCACCACCTTGGATGGTCGTGGACGGTGGTAGGAAAAACAGAATGAGGAGCATTTGGGAGCAGCCAGAAGCAAAAGCAAAAACGCGGCAATGGACTCACTTAATCACAGTGCCTGAAAAAATCAGAAGAATATGTGCGAGATGGTGTGAAGATTTATTCATATCTATTCCCTCCCTTTGTTGCTGGTCGACTTGGTCAAGCCTGGAAGAGCTTGACTGCCGTAGCCCATCTCCAAAGAAGCACTCCAACTATGTCCGACAACCCCCGTGTGTCTGAATCTCTGGGCTGTCCCCCAATGAGTCGGTTGCAAGAGAAAACCTACAGGGAACTGTGGTTTTCACCGCCAAACCTATGGGTTTCCTGAAGTTTCCTGATGTTTCCTGTAGACGTTGCATGATTTTCCCTGATTTGGGTGATTTGTTGGAAGCAAAATTATTTTGGGTACCTTATACCCAATTCTTAAGCAAATACAAGGGTCCGTGCTCCAACACTGTAAAAAGCAAAGGTCGTCAAGTCCCCGGGGGCCAACCTTGGGCTGACCATGAAAGCCTGGGGGAAAGCGCAAAAGTGGCGCAACTAGATACACTGGCACCCCTGCCCAACACTGTACAAGGGAGACAGACAGAAGAGGCACCAATGCGGAGAAAACCTAGCAGGAGAAAGGGCCACCCAAGTCCCTCAACCTGGGCGGCATTGGCAAAAACCTAAAGCCCCAGCCGTCCAAGCAACCACGGCTTGCGCCAGCAGTTGGAAGCAGGGACTTGCAAAAAGGGTTCAGAGGCCCATGAGGGGAACGCACCCGGAAAAGAGCGGCATCACCCACGCCCTTATGCAGAAAAAGCCAGGCGAGGGTAAACCAAGGGCACGATCCCCGAACTGGCAGATGGAAGCATGGCCCGCCACTCTCAGGAGTCGAAGTGCTGCACAGCATCCATTCCAGTTGCCAGGGCCAGCCCCGTCCGGCGGCGAAGCACAGCTCGAGCCCGATGCGTACGTGCAATCACGCACATTTCTTGCAAGAGGCGGCTGTGAAGTTGCGAAACGTCCTGGCCTGTTCGAAGAGCCACAGCTCCCGAGATCCTGCGGAGGAGGGAAGCGGCCTCCGCCTCCCATGCGCCAGTTGTTTCCAAGACCAGCCGTCGGAAGGTGATGCCCTGCCGGGCACACTCCGCTGCTGTGCCAAGGTGGGCAGCCTTGGTCTGGGCATAGGCTGCTGCTGCCGCAGTGGCCACTGAGCCAGCTTCGCTGAGGCTTTCCGACCGCAGAGGCGCCGTAACGGCGAGGTCAAGGGCGGTGGGAAAGCCAGCAAA